AGGTATCGGTATGAATCTCACAGAGATTCATCCAGATCACGACAGGAAAGAGGCATACAAACAAGGAAAGGTTTATGGGGTAGAAGGAAGCTCACCACCCCCTCCGTTACCCCAGAGCAGGCCAGGGCCAGCCAACAAGAACAGAGGCTTATGGCTGGAGGCACCTTTTGTTCTGACTGTGGATTGGGAGTAAGGAGCAGGCTTCTGAGCCTTTTAAGCTGGGAGGTTTGAGTTTGTTTTCCTGACTACAGCATCCTCCCTGAATTGATCTCCAAAACCCTCAGGACCACAGCAGGGCCCAAAGGAAGCCAAAACAGCCTTCGGATCAGACATGGATATGGACAGGTCATCTCCTCTAAGGAGGGTTGGTTTTACCCATCCTTCCCTTCAGTCCCCCCTAGCAGTGCCTGGACCACAAACCCCGAGCCTCTGGGGGTGGAGACAGCTCTGGGCTCTGGGGGACCAACCTGGAGGCACCCCCCCCCCATCTGAGCCCTATCTTGGAGCTTCGCAGCAGGCCCTGTATCTAGGCCCAGTGTGGGGGCGGGGATGGAGTGAGCCAGCTGCAGGGCTTGTCTTCCGAGAGCTCAGAGGATGACAGTCCCCCCACATGTGCGTGGGGCTGGTACTTTTCCAGAGCTTTTAAATGCATTATCTTGTTGGAGGCTCATTTGAGGCAAGGACTCAGAACAGACTGGAAAACAACTAATTTACTGAGTCCTGAATGGAGAGGAAGCTGAATGCAGCATGTATTTTTGCTGAATCTCAAACCAAAACAACCTTTTGTTAAAGAACAAACAAATAAACAAAAATGCTGAACGCTAATTCGCCAGGGAACACAGTCTGAACTGGAGCCCCAGGCAGACAATCGCAGCCGAAAATTCAACAGGCGTTTACTGGGCTGGAGGGGCCTGCTGGGACCAGGCCAGCACCTGGGTGAAAGCTTTGGGGGCACAGCAACATGTCCTTGCAGGCAGGGCACAACCTTCCCGGAAGCCCTCCAGCCGGGAACTCACAGGAGATGCTGGCAGATGCTTTAGGTGTGGGCTCTGCGCAGGGGGAAGGGGGCAGGTTGGGGTGGTGCAGAGGGATGTGCCTGAACAGGATGTCCTCTTGGGAAGGGCTTGGAAGAAAAGGTTTAGGGACAGGTGTCTGCTCTTACCAGTCTCTGATGGAATCACAAGCAGACATAATCGGCAGTGGAAGTGGGGGAGCTAATAATTCACTGGTTCCCTTGGCCCCCAACATCCCCTGTAGAAATAACACTCAGTTGCTTCCCTTCTTAAAAAATATTTTTGAATGTGTTTGTGTATGTGGTGTATATATTTGTATGGATTCATGTGTGTGTACCTGTGTGCATGTGTGTGTGTGTGGGGGGGTGAGAATATGTGGGTACTTGTGTGTGTTTACGTATAGAAGCCAGAGGTTGACATTCAGTGTTTTTCCGCGATTGCTTGTCTACTTTTATTTGTTAGATCTTAACTTGTCCCCCACTGATCTGCTAGACAGGCTGACCAGCAAGCTCCAAGGATCTTCATGTCTGTACCCCTCAGAGCTGCTGTGCCTGGCTTCCCCGTGGGTGCCATGCATCTAAACTTGGGTCCTCTTGCTTGCATGGCAGACACTACTGGCTGAGCCATCTCTCAGCCTCTCTCTCTTCCATCTCAATGAGCCTCAGAGACCACTTCAGCACTCCTAAAGGGCATAGACTACTCCCTAAAACACTCATCATGTCTTGTAAGGCGTCATTCTCCTGCCGTAGTCACTTTGAGTAGCTCCTGGACCTTCCCAGGTCCGAGCAGCAGCAGCAGGCCATTTGCAAAGATGCTGGATCTGGCACTGACTTTGCTTTGTTTCCTCCTTGCAGTTTGGATCTAGCTTTGAATGGATCTGTCCTCTGGAGATACTGTGCTGGAGGTCTGACACTCAGCACAGCCATGCTCAGAGGTGATGGGATGGAGAGGTGGTGGGATCATGAGGATGATAGATAGCTTTCATTGTCAACTTAACATAATCAAGCATCATCTAGGGAGTCTCCATGAGGGATTATCTACACCATGGGGAATGGTCTTAAGTTGAATAATTTAGGAAGGCACAATCTACTGTGGGTGTCACCATTCCCTAAGCAGGGCATCCTGAACTGGGAAAAGTTGAGCCATTGAGCTGAGTACAAGCATGCATACGTTCATTTCTTTCTGCTCTGGACTGTGGATGTGATGTGACCAGCTGCTTCAAGCTCCTGCTGCCATGACTTTCCACAGTGGTGGACTGTAACCAGGAATTCTAAGCTAAAATAAACCCTTTCTCCCTAAGCTGCTCGTTGTCAGTTATTTTAGCAACAGAAATGGAAGGAGGCAGGGCACTAACTCTACTGGTGGATTAGCCACTGAGGAGCTCCTGCCGAATGCTCCTGTGGTGAGGCCTGGCAGTCAGAAGCAGGCCTTGAAGGACATCTCTTCTCTCCCTGCTTCCCAGCTGCCGTGAGATGAGCAGCCTCCACAGCTATTCGCTCCCACCAGCTGCCTGTATCTGTTACAAATCAACGCAATGGGACAAACTATAGATGGGACCCTCTGAAACCATGATGAACTCCCCCTTTCTACTGATTCCCTCGGGTATTTTACCACAGTTGTGGAAAGCCGGTCAATGCCCCTTTGCTGGCAGAGAGAGAACTGATTTGGGGGGAGTGACTTCTTGTGGTTCTGAAACCTGAGTGCGGGTACCTTCATAGCTGTTGACTATACCCTTTTCACATACCCACTCCCTCAGGCTGTAGCACGGAGATTGGCTGGCTGTCTCCTGCAAGGCAATGGTCCAGATGAGGTGCTTAGGCCCATGGCTAGGGGGACAATCCAGACACTGGGTAATTGGGGGCACAGGAGTGTCCAGAGAAGGTGAGCTTGGATAAGGCACCCTGGCCATAGAAACCATGGCTTTCAGCTTACCCCCACCCCCACCCCCACCCCTCCATGCTTCTAAGCACCTACAAGTCATTTGCACTGCCCCATAAAAGGTCTAAGTTATGTGTCTCCATGTTCCCTTAGCACTGAAAACACACAGGCTCCTGTTAATGGCTCTGACTAAGGCTCCCTAAGTTAACGCACAGAGGAAAGTCTTTCTTCTGTCCTCTCTAAGTCCAGGAGAAGCTGGCCAGCTCCCAGCATGGAAGTTGAAGGTTCTACTCCCTTCTTGAGCATGTCAGGACTGTACTGTGGTGATGGCAGTAATCACCACAGCCCAGCTCACTCAGAGCACTTCTTTTGTGGTCCTCAGAAGTCAATCGCTCCACTTTTCCACAGTTAGGATACCCTGCCTAGGAAATGGTGCCATGAAGGGTAGGCTGTGTCTTCCCACAGCATTTAACTTATTAAGACAATTCTCCACAGACATGCTACAGGCCAGCTCAGCATACACACTCCCTCATTGAGACTCTTTTCCAGGTCATTCTGGGTTGTGTCAAGTTGACAAACCAACCATCCTCCTCATGATGGTGGTGATGGTCAGGCTGGCTTTGCACATCTTCCTCATCCACACTGGAAAGCCACGTTTCTTCTGTGCAGCTCTCCAGAGCCCAGGCTGACATGACTCCAGGGGTGTCCATCTGCCCAGATAGTTGTCCTGTGACTCCCACTGCTGGGGTTCCAGCAGAGCTTGGAGAAGCACTTGTGCCCTTAAGTCCTCTGGCCCTGGGGAAAGCAGAGCCGTGGGCTCACCCCCGGAAGCCCCAACACTGGGCATACCATCCCGGCCCTGAGCCTGCAGCTGGTCCCCAGCTGGGTCCCCAGCCCTGTAGCTGCCTTTGTGCCCACACAAGGGAGACTCAGTTCCCCTGCTGCTCTGTGACCCTGCTTCCTGTGTCCACACGGGCACAGCTCCCTGGCATGAGGAAGGGGGAGTGTTGGTGCCAGCTGCCCCGGAGAAGGAGCCAGACCACCTCGGTGACCCCTGCCTCCTCTGGGGTGTCACTGGGGGAAGCTGGTGAGAGCTGCCTACTGCAAGCAATTAAGTGAACTAATGACCCATGAAGGCTCCTGCCCTCCAGCCTGGCCATGCCTCTCCCCGCGCAGAAGCCCACAGCTTCTCACTCATTTGGCCACTGCCCACAATGACTATTAATTGCCAAGCAAGGTTTCTCATATAGGGCTGGGACATAGGAGCTGGCTTTGACTTTTCAGGTCCACCTAGGGCTATGTATACAGTAGGTAGTTAACATTTGCATGGCCATCAGACCCAGAAACAGGACACCTTCTTTCCAAGGCAGAAGAGACCTGGAGTCTTAGGACACCTAGGCTGGAGTTGTCATGGACTTAGGATGTCCCAATGCATGCAATCTGTAAACCTACAGCCAGGCTCTTGCCTCATCACCCTTCAGAGAAGGTGGAGGAAACCCTGTCCCTACTCGCTGGGCTAGCCCTGATCTCTCACAGTCACACTGGGATGTACTGTGTTGGAAGACAAGGGGGAGCAGGCGGTTTTCGTCTAAACTGGAGAAAGCATACCCCCAGATACCACGAGGCCGGCCTCCCCTGCAGCCCAGATGTGGTTTACATCTCCGAACCCTGGCTGGGCTCCTGGGAGTCATAAGTGGTTTCCAAACCAGGCCCTCTGTGGCCTAGTGTTTCTCTGGTGGGAACTGGGAAGATGCAGGTTCAGAGCTGAGGAAAGCCATGTTCACCCTAATATATATATATATATATATATATATATATATATATATATATATATATATATATATATAATATAACAGAGCCTCTCAGAGCCATCCCAGTCTGTGGAGACACTGGGAAAACCAAAGCAGCTGGCCGACAGGCCTAGGCCCCAGGGCTGCTGTCCTCTGCCCCAGACTCCAGGGCTCTGGGCTGCAAAACCAGTTCACCTGGCCATCGCAAGACCAGATGAGCGTCTACGGGCTGCTGGGGGCAATTCCGCCCCTCAGCCCCTGACAGGCTCCTCAGGGTTATCAGACAAGGGAGTAGGAAAAACATGAGCAGAGGCAAGGGTATGTTGTGGTCATATTTAATTCAACTTCAAGTGAACTGGAGGGGCTGTGAGGCTCTTCCTGCTTCACAGAATGGAGCCTCTAACAGCCAGTCACATCTACCAAGGCATGGGCTGGCTGGGCACCCCAGTGAGCCGCAGCTGGAGCAAGGGCCTGGATCAGGAAGTGCACTCACCACAGAGGTGACCTGAGGTGGTTCTAATGACCAGGTGGGGGGATAAGGGACAGTGAGTTTGCAGAAGCCGACTTAGGAGGTCTGTGACAGCCTTCACCAGATTCCACCAAACCCTGAGCTGTCTTCTAAGAGAAGAATGGCCACTCCCATCACCACATGTTACAGAAAGGAAAAGCCAAACTCATCTCAAGATCTAATCTCTCAAATACTTAAAACCAGTCAGCCAGTGCAAAATGAGGTAAGGAACCCGTGTCACCAGGTGGGCAGTAGCGCTCACACGAGCCTGCGTCTCTTGGAGTCACGTCCCACGTCATCACCCTGCTGGGCATCCACCTCACAGTCCAGTGGGGAAACCAGGTTCAGCAGTGGGTCCTCAGAGGCACGGCCAAAAAGTGCCAATAGCAGGGCCACACCAAAGCCCGTGGCTCGCTCGCCCTGTGGACAGAGAAGGTGGAAATCCTAGGCCAGGGGGCACCTTTAGGCCTCCCATATCCCTCTTCTCCACATGGAGGGCCTAGGCCATGAGGCTGTGTCGTGGGCCTTCCTGAAGATGTCCTGACATGCTAGGGCCAACAGAGGAAACCAGGTGGTTAATGCCACAGCTCTGAGTGGAGAGGCCCTGGAGAGGCTGGCTGGGGGGACTGCACCAGAGCAGCTACTCTGTTCCCAGGGGGGAAGAGACTAGAGGTCAGGGAGACCACAGCTGGCTGGAGGCTGGGCCACAGACAATCTGACGCACAACACAGAACCTTTCTGATGATCTCAGAAGCAGCTCTGAGCCAGAGGGGCTCTGCAGGGACAGGATAGGAGGGAGGGAGGAGCCCAGGCTGTAAGGAGGAGACATGATGTGTCTGGCAGGGGTAGGTATATCGCCTGGCCTTGAGAAGCATCCCTGAAACACTTACAGCATGCACTGGAGCTGCGATGTCCAGATGGACCCAGACCCCAGGCCAGTCAAATCCGATGTGTGAAGCAATGAAGAGGCCAGCACAGGAGCTGGGGCTGTTGTCTCGGTCCTGAGGACAAGAGGGTGACATCTGGTGACATCCTGTTCCCAGCAGTGGGAGGAGTCTACCCTTATCCCTCAGCCATAGGCACAGAGGTACCTGCTGACCCAGATGACTGAGGAGGGATCTGACCTAGAACAAGGCGTCTACCTCCCCCAGGACAAGGGAGGCCCACAAAGAACCTGAAGGGGCAACTAAGTCAGACTCCAGTGTAGAGTCTGTTCATCGAGCGTGTTCAGTGAGTGTGTCCTGGATAAAGTCACACCTCACCTCTGCACTGCTCCTGGTGCCTGGGGATACTGCTCTTCTGGCTCACAGACTCCCCAGGGGCACAGCTCTGCACACCCGTGCAGGCAGGCCCCACACCTACCGCCACTGAGTTCTTCATGTCAGCCACGGCTGAGGTGAACTCGCTGAAGTGCAGCTCGGGGCAGTAGACCAGAGGGTGGACCAGGTCCCCGCACTTGCGGCCAGCCTTCACGCAGGCCACCTCCCACTCGGCACTGTTGGTGAGTACGGCTGCATGGTACTTCCCTGTGGCAATGCCCTGGCAAAGGACACAAGAGAAGCAACCATACCAGGGAGGGCAGAAGAGAAACACAAGGCAACGTGGAGCAGCAGACAGACAGACAGACAGACCACGGAAGAGGCAGAAAGGAGGGCAGAGAAAGGAACCACGAACAACAAGCAGGCAGAGCACAGCCTGGTTCAACAGCTGCTCCATTCTCACCTGCCAAGAGGGGTCCAGGCTAACGGGGCGTAAGGGGTGACATGTGACACTCACCTGTGCTCCAGTCAATGTGGCCATGTCCACGATGATGTCAGCTCCCAGGTCTTTGCAAGCATAGGACACGCCATCGGCTAGCACCAGCCTGCCCTCGGCATCTGTGTTGTTTATCTCCACGGTCCTGGGTGGGACATAGACCCTGGTTCAGAAATGCAGCTCTCCGGAGTGCCGAGTGACCCCTTCTGCTATTGTAGCCCTTCCATCTCCATGACATGTGCCCTCCCCAGGAGTGTGGCAGGTGGGAGGCAGGGTGGGCTTCTCCCACACCCTGGGTTAGGCTCAGACTGACTTAGCCTGACTCTGGGAGGAAGCCAACAGTCTAAACCACAGTTCCAGAGCTGAGAGAGGGCTGTCCTTACTTTCCTGAGTACAGAAGGTGAATGTCATCAGGCCTGGTGGCATTGGGGCCCACAGCATTCTCAGCCAAGCAAAACACAGCATGGAGGTTATCTTTGAAACCCTGAGGGGAGAAGCAGGTGAGAGGTCCCATGGTAGACCAGAAGCCCTGGAAGGGGAGAGCCAGGGGCTCTCAGACCTGTAGACAGCAGGAGATAGACTGGGGACCTCAGGAGCAGGAAGTGGAGCTCAGTTCTGAAGATGCAATTTGGGAAAATCCCTGCTAGAAGGGGCAAAGCCCTCCAGAGCCCAGACCATGCAGCAGACTTCACTACACAGCACATGAAAACCTTGAATTTGAGACAATCCTCTTGCCTCAGCCTCCTGATCATCATTCTTACCCCAAACAATTGCTACTGAGGACTGGCAGATGGCTTCAGTTCCTCAGTTCTTCCTGCCAGTGGTCACCCTCCCTCCCCCATGGCAAGAACCACCGCTGTGTTCCTTCAGTGAGACCCTCCACTGTGGCTGTGGGGACCGGGATATCCTGTGGGTCAAGTAAGTCACTGCCGTTGCTGTTCATCCTGTGGCTCTCACTGAGGCACATTCCTCTTCAAGAGGATGGAGGGGAAGGCCCGTGCCAAGTGGACATGTGACTTACCCAGGGAGGTGACTCACATGTGTGAATGTGTGTGGGATACTTCCACACGGGGGAGGGGTCCTCTCAGCACCCGTAAGTCACTGGTTGTAGCTTCCTGTAGGTCCAGTACCCCTCATGCCCACCAGTGAGTACCAGCATCGGCTGGCGCCAAGTCCAGAAGAACCCATTGCTGAGCATTTCCTTTCTAGCATGTCTTCAGTACAAACCAACAACAGGACTTCTCCAAACAGGTCCAGCCATGGCTGCTTCCTTCAGAGAACCTTTGGCTAGCTCCCTAAGCTAGCTTCCTACTGAACAACCCCTGATAAGCTCCATGGCCAGGGAAGTGAAGTCCTGGAGAGAGGAGAGTCAAACAGAGTCTGAAGGAGAAAAACCAGAACTCTCGTCCTCACCTGCTTGATGGCGGCTCTGAAGGCTCCCAGGATGGCTGCGGCACCCCCACAATCTCGCTTCATCCCTGGCATAGTGGTCTATGGTGACACGAAAGGACCAGGAGAGAGGGTATGAGTCACGGGCACACGGACGCAGCTGGCAGCAGACTCTCAGGCTCCAACCTGCACGGCACGCCAGGGCTCTCTGAACACGCTACCCACAGACCTGACCACCCAAAGGGGGTGTTCTACCAAAGCAAGAGGAAGCAATGTTCAGAGATGGTGGTGATAGATGTTTTATTTCTGTGGAGTTTTAGAGCTATCAAGCGATAGATAATATGATAGAGAGAGGCCAAGGAGCTGTCCATTGGCCAGATTCACCATGACCGGGTTCAGAAGCCTGGACTCCATGACAGCTTGGAAGCCTACACTCGGGGCCTCTGCCTTCTTCTCCACCCAAACATCATAGAAATTGGGACTCACAAGGAGTCACCCAGCCAGCACCTCAAGAGGCTTGGCCAGGCTTCCCAGTGACAATCAGAACTATGGGTCCCACCAGGGATATGGGGCCCTGGAGGTGATGTGTTTGCCAATATGCCATTTGCCTGTGTTCCCCACTTACCAGAGGTTCCTGTTGTGTCTACTCTGAAGAGGGATATGGGTAACCCCAGGCTCATGCCTATCCCATCCTCCCTGAGCATAGGCTGACAGTCATCCTGTGAGTGTCTCTGGCTTCTAGGAGCTGAGTCCAACTCTAGTCAGTCATAGTGTGCTGATTGCCTTGCCCTTGGCCCCTCCACATCCAGTCACAGTGAGGGTACAGCCTACATAACGTCCTGCCCACTTGTCCTCTAAGCAGGCGCCCTGGACCCCAGCCCCTCCTGCCACAGACGCTCACACTCATCCGGGCCCGCTCCCGTTTCTCCTACAGCGAGCCCTTGAGGCCGCCTCCGCTCAGCGTCACTTGCCCACCCCTGGAGCTTTCCCGGGGAGGCCCAGGTCTGTGCCAGCTCTTCTCCTTGCACACCTTGGTCACCTCTTACGCCGTTGCCATCCAACCATCAGTAGGGGGTCTCTCCACCCTACTGGGTTCAGTTCCCTGCTGCGTCTAAGCTGTAGACCCTGCCACCAATGTCAATGTCGCCTCCTATGAACTATTTATGTCGTTACACATGTTTATGTTGTATAGGCTTCCAACTCAAACTGACACGTTCATATTTTAAATAAAAACAGGTCCTCAGAAGTAAGAATCTTGGCTTGGAGTCTAGGGAGCGGTTTTTGGAGTCCTTCTCGTATTCCATGAGGCCTGGATTTTAGCTGGAAGTATTTTTGGACATAGACTGTGCTGCTTTCATAATTACGCCAAGTGAAAAGGACCCATCTTTCTGACCTAATCAGTAACCAAGCACAGGCCTGTGGAAATGAAGAAATGGCCCCACAGGCCTGGCAGTAAACCATTTCAAAGTGACCCACCCAGAAAATGTCTATGACAGCTGTCCATGGAACACGGGGTGCCCCTGCACAGGTGTGACCCCCTAAGCCGAGTGCCAAGCTCGCAGATAAAGCTCGGCTGCTCACAGGAGGTCTCCCGACTCGTCTGTCACCTCTGTCATTACAGAGGAAAAGGTTCTCAATGCTAAGGTGCCATGTGCCCCAGTCACTTGGACACACGCACAGAAGCCATGGCTGGTGGAAGTGTCAGAGCCCTGGTCCAACAGAGGCTTCGGCTGACAGTGAACGAGGACTGACCGGCTTCCTCTTCACGCATTCCAGCAAAACCAAGTCATGGCGACCTCTCCATGAATCAGTAATGCTAAGTTTGGAAACTCTCCTGGGGCTGGAGAGATGGCTCAGAGGCTATAAGAACACTTGCCGAGTGGACCAAGCTCAGTTCCCAGCACCCGTACGGTGTCAGAACCATCCATAGGCTTGTGTGTGGTGCACAGACATGCAGGAAAACCACTCACACACATAAAATACATCTCCAAAAAAGGCAAAACGCCTCACCTGCGGGTGAGTCACTGTCTACTGCATGATGGCATGTCTCTGCTGCCTTTTCCAGGTCAGTCAGAGCACAGGGCGGGCCACGAGAGCGACAGGCCCAGTAGTCCCTGCCTGAGGCAGCAGAAGAGATAGTTTGCAGACGAGGCAAGACACAGTAAGAACAGGGCGAGCCTCCCTGGGAGAGCGAGGGGCAGCATCACCCCGGCTTTAACACGAGCTCTCCCGCACAAGGCAGAACTTGGAGGAACCTGTGTCTGCCACTTGACAGCCTCCTCCGGCCCAAGGACTTCTCTGATAAGCTGACGGTGACGTCAAGGAATATGAGGTTTCTGGTAGAAGGAAGTACACAAAAAGGCAGCTTCTGCACAGCTCTGTGTGCTGACAGCCTCCAAAGATCTCCCCATCACATACAAGACAGGCATCTGAGCTCAAGGCAGCTCACTCACTGCTTCGGGCCCCCAGCAGAACAATCATTCAAAAACACCACTTGTCAAGTTTGGGTAGAAGAGCAAAGACTGTTCAGGGCCATGGGCCATGCCTCCTCCTTGCTGCCATTATGAAATGTGCAGCCAGACTGTCTGGATGCATCCCCACGGTGACAGCCGGCTCTCGGCACAGGCAGCGCAGGCTCCTAGCTGTCCCATTAGGTCCCCATGAGGGAGAGATTGACAGAATGTCCAGTGCCACACGTGGAACCGTTTCTCATTTGAAAATCATATTATCTTCATCACATTTTACTATTCATGGTGTATTATTTTCAAATGGATCCCAATTTTAATTATCAATTTTAATTTACTACACAGGACCTACAGGCCATAGCCAGCATTACCAACCACACCCACTTGGGATCAGTACTTTGTAAGAGTGTAGAGAGGTCAGGAGGGATGTCTGAGGCCTCCTAGGACCTGCCACTCCACTGATTCCAATCTGCCACTGACCTCTTTGCAAACAGAACCAGGAAGGGTGGTGCAAGTATTCCACATGGCTTGCTCTTGGGGCACTATATGAGCTCAAGCTCCCTCTTGCTGCACTGAGTTTTATGCCTGGCCTTGAGAGGGGCTGTGGAAGCACCTCCAGGTCAGGCCTAGGATATTGTGTCGAGCCCTGGAGCCTCACTGTCCAATCCCCATGCCAGGCTGAGGCTCAGAAAGCACCCCTGGTTCACCCCAAATTGGGGTGAAATGTTTCCAAGGGTAGGGGACAAGTGGGTTGGCTAAGAACAGCCAGTGTGCCACCATGGTCATTGTGTCCATCACATGTTTGCAGGTTAGTGTGACCACAGGAGGACAAAGCTGGTACCTCAGTGTTGGAGGCTGGCCTGGACCCCTGTGCTCTGGCAGCTCTTTCATTACCCAGAGTCTATGGCCTGCTGGAAGCTACACGACAGAAGCCAAGTGAGGGGACCTCAGGCCCAGGGTTCCTCCCGAACAACAGGAGTTACAGCCACATCAGAGGGATTCTGCCTGCAGAAGCCATGATCTGTGCTCTGACCTACCAACAAGCCCATAGCAAGAGTAAGCAGGAGTTCACCTCCCACCAGAGAGAAGGTAACTGCAAAGGGCAGCACTCAGGGTTGCTAGGCCAGGTGCAGGGCCAGGAGCATGGCCTGGGTGGGGTTTTCCAACAGCAATAAAGCAGCTACCCTGCTTCTACTTGATGTTGGAAACTAAACACTCCTCCCCCAAATCTTCAGTTGCTCAAAGTTTCAGCAATTTCTGGGGCTCCTGATGCTATAACCGTATCAACATCGTCTTCTGCACTCGCCTGACTTTATGGTTTCACGATTTACCCTTAAGCAACAGCTTGTTTTTTGTGGTTGGAGTAAAGGGGCCTCTGGCCCCAGCAGACAGGCTCAGCTAACCACCCACTTGTGAATGCTACAGAGGGCAAGACTGCTGAGCTGCCTGCAGGGCTGGGACATCTATGCCTCAGTCACGGCAGACGAGAAGCGCGTGCCCGAACCCAAAGTCCTGTCCCTCTATTCTCTGCAAGTCTCGGGGTGTGGTGTTTGAGACATTTTGATACACATATGTGGAGGCTGTTAAAATGGATTTCAGAGATCTGAGCACATGGCCAGCACTGAAAATTCTAGAATGTGAACTAGGGTTGTTTTTCAGGAGCCTCTGGTATCAACTGCCTGGGGTGACAGAAACTCCTCAGAGTTAAGTAACAGTGTTCTGGGGTTCTGAGCAGGGACCCACGAACAGCCCTGGTTCCCATGTGTATTCAACACAGACATGTGTAGGTTAGATGAAGTCAAATCCCCAGGATGAGAGAGACCGGGACAAACTTCTTTAATGCCGCAGTCCATTAGCAATTAGCAGAGCCTGCGATGGAAGCTGTTTTGTGGGTTTTATCCCTATTAAAATACATTAATGATATTTGAGTGTTAATATGCTGCCGCTCTCTTTATTTGGACTGGAATATTTTTCTTTTCAAATTTTTCAACTGGCAAGATAATATGTGTGGAATTCAATAAAAGAGAGTGTTTGCTATTGGGGTTATTTTTAAACTTGTATTATTAGTTCCATTCCCTGAGTAGTCCTGGAAATAATTGTGTTGAATAGAAGAGGAGGGATTTTAAATAAAACAATCGCCCACTCCTGATACCTAGTGCATTAGGTACTCGAACACGCTGGTCTGGACTGCACCCCAAGCCCACATCTCACCTTCCCTTTGATGCTGAGGCCACCGGTGTCATAGACGATACCCTTGCCCACCCAGGCAATGGTCTGTGTGGCCCCATCAGGGGTATGGCTGAGGATGGCCAGAGCAGGCGGGTGGAGGGCAGCTTTGCCAACCCCATAGATTCCTGTGCAGGGAAAGGGAGAGTGTGAGGTGTATACTCCCCAGCGGAGACTTCCGGGGGCCCTGCGAACTCTGGTTCTAGCTGGCCCACACTTCCCTGCAGAGCACCCCTGGATGGATCTCCCTTCCCCCTCCTGCTAGGGGCCAGTGTGGGATGGGGGAATGCAGATCCATTCCAACATCTAAGACTGCAAAGGATTGTTAGGCAAGAAAACTCACTGAGGGAAAAAAATATCGTATTGTGCCCAGGAGGAAGAGAACAGGAGTACAGAGTGAGAGGCTTCTTGGATGATGCTTCAAGGCCTCTCCCGCCCACATGGGTCCCCCTACTCTGATCTTTGAGTCTTCCTTCTCCAGCCTGCTCCCACGGCCTTTGCAATACCACCTCCCTTGCTCACTGCTTACATGCTCCAATTTCCCAAAGAACGAGGAGCTTCTTAAGCACAGAGGCTATACAAGGTACCCCCGCCCAAACGCTTTCAATCATGGCGAGGGTGAAAATGGCCATCTGAGAAACTCCTACTCATCAGACCCACTGCAACTGCTAAATCCTGAGAGAAACTCCCTAACATAAAGGGCCTCTGCCTCAGTGGTCAACTGGTCCACGTGTGGGGGTTGGCTAAAGCAGCTGGCCCCCAATGACACCACTCGTGAGCATTTGGACCCTGCAATCCCCTTTCCCTGGGATGAGGTGGTCCTAGGGTCTCATCTGTAACAGCACTCGGAAGCAACAGGGCCTTCTCAGACGAGGTCGACATCTTGCTTGGTCATGGTTCACAACTCTGTCCCCAGACACCTTGCTCTGAGGTAAACACTGGCCACATTGTGACTAGCAGCTCCCCTCAGGCCCAAGGCTAGCCAGCACCCTGCAAGAGCTTCTTTCCTGGAGTCTTCACACAGCTGTGTGAAGCCAGGAGAAACCCTAAGTCATCAGAGGGTTGTGACCAAGAGAGCTGCTTCCTGAGCCCGGAGGGACTTGGACCTTAGAAAGGACTTCTTTCACAGTCACAGACAACTGTGATAGTGACCTTTGCCTGCTCAGTCTAAAAGCACCTCAAGACAGCCCAGTTTTTCCTCCAGTTCCTAAGTACAAAGAGATCAGAGAGGAGAGAGACATGCAGGTCAGGACAGACCCCACTGCATGGATATCACAGTAAAAATATCTTATATGGAGAACACTATCCACTGAGATGCCAAAAATGGCCATGAATTTGTGTATTCGAGGAACAGAAGGCCCTGCTGAGCTGGCTCTGAGCAGGGGTGTGGAGGCAGGAGGAGATAGGCAGGAGAAGGACTTGGGTCTAGTGGCTCCCAGGATCAGCATCAGAGCCTGGAAGGCTGCCCCTGTCTCCCCCAGGGATGCTCTGCCTCCCAGTCCAGTCTTGGCCTGGAACCAAGGCTGATTCCCTTCAGGTCCAAGCAGTATGAAACCCTGTACCAAATGTCTCCACTGCTAGCCCTGCCTCCCGGGTTCCCCCAGCCTCCCTTGAAGGGTAACAGCTGTGGGAGGGCAGCTCTACGCACCTCCAAATCCTCTGGTCTTCAGCTGCTCATCCCGGATGATGGTGGGGGTGATCCCCAGCTCCTTTCCAACTTGAGTAATCTCCTGGACATATTCATGGAAAAACAACATGAGACACATGAAGAAGGCTTGAGTCAAGGCTAGGCTGGGACTCATGCCAAAGATGAGTCTGTCCATGGCTTCGTCGTGGTGGGAAAGGAGCCACTCAGAGGCCAGCGGCTGCACCTCTCATGATTAAGCCTGGGGGGAAGCTGGCCCTGCACATTCAGCTTCCTGCAGCTGGTGGTCCCCATCCTACAGACAGCCCCAGCGAGGCTGTCTACCTACTCCATCCTACCCATGCACCCAGCTGAGGATGCTGACCTTTTGGAGAAAGATGGACTCTAGAATCTGATGGAAACCCTGGGATTTCTGGGCACAAAAAGCACCAACTTCCTCTCCTTGTGGTCAGATGGCCCTCTCCCCACATCAGCTTGTCCCTCTTCTAGAAGGAGAAGGCCACGAACCTCAAGGAAGATGTCTGTGTTCATCTCATTGCATGGAGTGTCCACAATGCGGGCAGCTAGCCGCACAGCTTCTGCGGCATTGGTTAAACACTAGGAAAAAAGAAAGTTTACCACTGGGACCCGGGGACAGGGTGGGAAGGAGTGTCCTTTTCTCATCCAGTTCCCCAGGGACCAAAGACCTCAAAGACGTAAGACTCTAGGAGAATGCCGTGGGCTGCTCACAGGCATGGAGGTAGCAGGTGGGAGCAGGAGCTTTGGAGATTGCCCCAGGGTGTTGAGGGGTGCTTCCCATGAGCACCCTGGAGGCACAGAGGTCTACCACCCTGTCTTCTTTGTCACTGAATGGCCTACTGGGGCACGACTATGGAAGGAACGGGACCAAGCTGTCTTAGAGAACTCATGAGTCTCAGAAGACCAAGGAGAAGACAGAGACCTGAGATCATGGACCCCGCCAGACCTCTGGCCCTGTGCCAAGAAGGACAACTCAGAGACAGCCCAACAGTGGCTGAAGATGCTAGGTCTGTGGAGGGAAGTGTGGTCCCACGCGTGTGCAGAGCCAGCACCGCCCTAGAGGCCTGCCTGCCCACCGTTCTCTGCCCTAGGGCCTTGCTCTTAGCTGACTTGAGCATACCTCTACCTTCATTTCATCTCATGTACCCAAAACCTCTGCAGCCAGGGACAGCTGGCTACGTCAGTGCCTCTGTGCTGGCCGGAAGAAACAGATATTAAGGGGCTGGCGGAGGCGCAGGGCAGCAGCTTGAAGTCCATCATCGCCTCCCCCGGACTTGTATGTCAGGAGGGCAGGCGCAGGTCGATTCTGCCAGCCGGCCCGCCGCCCCCGCTGTCTGATCACCACAAGAGCCACTGCCTGTCCCAGGTAATTAAACCTCGAAGGCTCCGAGTAGAGACCTGCGAGCTGACAGCTCAGATATGAGCTGTGCTGGTGAGGCCCCTTCTACCTGTCAGCAGGCGGCGGCCTGCGTGGGATGTGTGTAGGGCCGAGGACTGGCCTCAAGGGAGGCAGGGATGACCCTGCAGACCCTCCACAGGCACAGAGCTCCACAAAGCAATGAGTGAGAGGGAAGAGAATGGAAGCCTTAGTTTCTACATGACAAGAAAAGCAAAGTCCATTCGCTCTTCTGTACGTGTTTACGTGAGGCCTGCTACAAGTCAGGCAATGTGACAGACACCCTCTCAGGTGACAGGGGGCAATGCCAGCGGAGACAAGGGTGAAGCAACAAGTTGAAGTCCACAGGACCCAGAGCTCTAGGCCTGGGGGTTGAGGGGACACCTTACTGGGGAAAAGGAGGAGGCAGCACCGGATGTCCAGACATGACCATGCCCGGCTAGTTGAGGGATGAGGGAGTCTGCTGTGGGAGGGTGGGAAGCAGGGAAGGGATGGAAGCGGCCAGGGCCAGCAGTGTGCAGAAAGAAGGGAGGGCCATGCTCCAGGCTAGGATCTGGAAGAAGGTGAGCCTGCAGCTCCAAAGGAACTCCCCAGAGACAGGGACAGACATGGTCTCAGTGGCCACTGCCAGGTGAAGTCCGGAGGCAGCCGACACCTCCCAGAGTGGAGACAATGAGGCCAATGGGGAAGAGAATGCAGGAGGATGAAGGCAGGTTGGGGAGCAGCGGAGAGAGAGGGG